TCCAGATGCACTATGGCATCTTCAACAACTTTGGCATTAATGGCTTCTTTCATAAAATGAATTGTTGTACCTTTCTGCGCTGCACCTTCAGCGACTTTTTTCAAGTCATCTTGAGTGGGGTTGCCCAAATTCAAATCTACCAGACAGGTAGGTAATTGCAATGATTGATAGAAGGGAAGCAACCTCGTAATTTCTTCCCATTTTTTCTCAATACTTAGTTGAACAAGCACGGAGTAAGCCACCAAGCAGCCATGCAGGACATGACACTGTGGAAGCAGTGTGAAGGCGTCATGAATGGCATGCGCGCCGGAAGTCCGTCCAAATTCATCACCGAAGCCTCCCACGAGGCCTCCCAGCATGATGTTCGTCTCTACAATGTTCAAAAAGGCCTGATTCAATTTCAAGTCCCTCATTGCCTGAAGTGCTGCCTCGCTGTCAGAAAACAGCACACTTCGACACCTCGACGCGGCGTATTCGGCAATTTGCACAGGCACCGGTTTCACCTCGAGCTGCGATATCATGCAGTCCGCTTCATACCACTTTGCCATAGTGTCGCCGATTCCAGCAATCATCAGCTTCATTGGTGAATGCAGTATAACGACAGGCTCAATAAGAACAAGGGCGGTGGCAAAAGGAAAAACGTCGAATCGGTCAACCGAGTTATCCTCGCGGTAAACTACACTGAGTGGTGTCCACGCCGCACAGGTTGAAGCCAGCGTCGGCAAGATGACGAGTGGCAAATGTGCCAGCGCCGTGACGGCCTTTGCGAGGTCAGAAACCTTGCCACCACCCACCGCAATCACACCTTTGAGATTCTTCTCTTTCACAATATGTGAAAAATAGTGTATCTTCTTATCGGTGCATTGACCCCCATAGGCCATGAACACCTGGTTTATCGATGGCATTGCGGGAAAGAACGGCTTGGCCACATTCCAAGAAGCACCACCGTGTAGCACCAACACAGAGTCAATAGCTCTCCGATTCAGGTGCCTCTCTAACTTTTCCCAAGCACCCACGCAGCACTCATACTCTTGCGGCGAACCTCGTACAACAAGCTGCATCTGACAAGACAAAAATAGACCAACACTTTTTCTGTTGCTGTGACAAAAAAAAAGAAGAGAATGACGCAACACAGAAACAAAAACATATTATTGCCAGCATCTGAAAGGTGTCGCGTTGTGCTTTATTATTATTATTATTATTATTATTATTATTATTATTAAAAGGAGCAAGACACCTTTACACGTAGCAACCGGACAAGGTAAAGTAAAAAAAACAANCTGTTGCTGTGACAAAAAAAAAGAAGAGAATGACGCAACACAGAAACAAAAACATATTATTGCCAGCATCTGAAAGGTGTCGCGTTGTGTTTTATTATTATTATTATTATTATTATTATTAAAAGGAGCAAGACACCTTTACACGTAGCAACCGGACAAGGTAAAGTAAAAAAAACAAAACAAAAAAATAAACAAACACAGACTCGCGAATGCTTCATTCCCCAGGCTAATGTGTCATGATGTGAATGTAGTCATTGAGAAGAGTGCGGAGGTTTGTAAGAGCCAGATTTATTTGCATTTTGTAATGTACCTTCGCCTCTTCATCTGAACGATCAGTAAGCAACACTGTTCTCAACCATTCTATGTCTTCAATCCTTTGTAGCTCTGGTATACCTGTTGATAGCATCAACATAAAAAGTGTTATCAATGTACCACTAAAACGTCTTAAAACATTATACCCATGACACGCTACCTCCACAAAATACAAATAAATAGGACTGCTCTGACCCCCCAACATGTAAGCATACATCGGCGTAAAAACGAAGGGAGCAGTCTCTCTTTTAATGCCAAACTTTGTCTTGAAGTTTCCGAGAAAATGACCATAATCAATATGAAAAATGGTTCCATCCTGACGAAGCATTATATTATCATTATGCCGGTCGCCGATACCCAAGACGTAGGTGGCCACAGTGTATCCAGCAGCACTATACAGAAAATTCCAGAGACATCGCTCTACCTCGTGTCTTTCCCGGTTAAACTGTCTTAGCCAATTCATCAGCGGCTCTTCACTAAATGCAGCTTGTGCACCTCCATCTTTACGAGCTATGTTTGCAATAGTGTCACTATTGAGAACAACCTCTATCATCCCCACACCCTCCCCGGTTGCGACACACCCATAAGGAATAACGTGCAAATACAGTCCGCAGGACTTCCACACTGAATCCATCAACTCAAGAAGCTGAAGAGTCAATAAATCCTGTCGCAAGTCATCTCCTGCCTTGAAGATAACATAAAAAGGATCACCCCCTTTTTGATAGTTTCGGAACACAAGCCAAAGAGGAAATTTCTTGGAGTCCATCACCTTGCACTTTCCAATATCAAGCCCACTACATTCCATTGCGGGGTGTAGGGCTAGGGTAAATCGGCTGGGCAAACGTAAACTTCCAAGGTGTTCTCGAAGGCAACCAACACGGTCTTTCTTCGGTGCATCCTTGACTCGCATGGCGCTCTCAAAAAGTTGATCTGTCACATATAACTGACGTAAATAATTTTTGCGTCCTGGCATGCGACGAACCAGTTCTTCTAAAAGAAGACCATACCGTTCACAGATGCTGTTGTTTCCCATTTCTGATACGAGGTACCAAAAAACATAGTGTCCTATCATATGAGGTGAACGTAGTGACCTTCGTAGGAGAAACCTGGCCAAAGCTGAATAATGATAAGACTCATGTTTCAAAACCTGTACCAATTGCAAGATACAACCTTTGAGTTCGTTATCACTCATGACATCAAGAAATCCCACAGCATGCTCTCTGACCACAACATCCACATAGCGTGCATCTAACAATTCAAGAGCCTCAATCGACTGGAGAGGGGCCCACTGTTTCAAAAGACAATGTGCTTCGTATACAGCATACGGTCGAAGCCAATTGACAGCTAGTAAGAGCTTTGCCAAGGCTTTTGGTCGTATGATGAGTTCATTGCGATGCTTCCAAAGGAGTACTTCATCACCTGGTGTAAGTACTGTTAGTGGGTCGCTGGCGAGAATTCTCTTCAGTTGCCTCAGCTGTTCAATCTTGCTTGTTTTCAGTTTCCCGATGAGGTGAACCTCATTATCGCATATCTGCTGCTCCCACTCACGCTTTTTCTGAACTGGAGGTCGTCCACTCGGGATTACTACCGGCTTAGCAAATGTGGGGAAGAGAAATGTAACACTCATGTCATTTTTGTTGGGGTTCGTTGAACTGGGACATATGGGATTTGCCTTTTTCTTTGTACCCCGAAGTTGTAGAACCAACCTCCCCATCTGCATACACGCCAGATAGTCAAACAGCTGCAGTGAAGCCGACGCGAGAAAGAATATAGGGCTCACGTGGCACTCTTCACCCTTCTTTATAGTTGAGCGCTCTTCTGACTGACGGACAATTTCTTCAGCATTTAGACAGATTGCACTGCCCAAACGATCACCACATGTGGCAACAAGGCTGATGCACAATTTGACTTCACGGGGTGCGTCAGACAACAGTAAACCAAAAGTTAGCTTGCTACCCCCTCCCCAACTAACATCACATGAAGTACTAAGTTCATTTGAACCAACTGGGTTACCACAAACTGACCATTTAGTCATTTGAGGAAGACAGCATAGCTTGTTACCATAATAAACTTCTACAAGCACCGCAATATACAACGCGTCACCACCACGAACACCTTCTTCTTTTGCTCTTTCAGAAGAAAAAACCAGATTGTTTAGAGTATTCACAACTTTTACTACTAGTTTCTCATTTGTATCCCACAAGCTAATCGCCGACGGTGCGTCGACAGAAGATTGACTGGCACCACCCATATCGTTATGATTCTTGTTTGGTTTTGCAACTGATGGGTAACGCGGTAAAAATACGGGATAAGTAAACAACACTTCGTCATGAGGTTCTACAACCACATTAATTTCCCGTTGTTGTGTTACACAGTCCCTGATGTAGCGAAAGTTTATAAGTATTTCGTTACCATACACGTATTCATTTCTTCCTTGGATCCGAAAAAGATGAACAAGCCCTTGACCTTTACTCTTGTCAAAGTTTGTAACTGAAAACAGGCGCTCCATAGTAGTTTCAATAGCCTCTGAAGCGGTCGTATGAAACGAAAACTCCCGTAAAGAAGAACATGTACAACCCGTAAAGTCTACATACCAAACACGCAACAAAACAGTCCCGAAACCACTGCCAATTTTTCTAGAAAACAATCGTGTCAACAACTCCAACTGTGTATCCTGCATAGGTGGAAGGGAAAAACACTGCGGCAAAAGACGCATAGCACGCGATAGGGTCACCGATGGATTCTTCGTTTGAAACTCATGCCATTCATTCTCAAACGACACAGAAAGAGCCTTCCTAAACCCCTTGACCTCCGGACTGTTGCTACACCAATATGAATCGGAACCAGTTATATACTCGATAATAGCCTCGACGTCATCTTCCGTGTTGTCATCTTTTTCCTCAAAAATGAGATGCTGAAGAACGCTGGAAAGGCCTGCTACATGCCGCTTAGCTTCTCTATTCTTTTCAAACAGCCGAATGAACTCCTCCGAGTCCTCGGCGCTAAAGATGTCATCCGCTTCAAAATCCTCATTAATATCAACGCCTTGGTTCTTAAGTATCTCCTTAGAAAATGGCATCTTGAGAGCATAGACAAAGTTGCAAACAGAGATTGAGACAAGCTCAATCAAACACAGCGTTTCACAATCCTCATTTGAGTGGTTCCAACAGAAGAAGACCACCCAAAAAGCAAAAAAAAACTGTACACAGAGAAATAGAAACCATTATCCCCATGGAACGAGCCTACCATCAATAAGACGTGGACCACAATGCCGCAAAAGAAATCGAAGAGGAGGAGAACTTACCTCATAGGGTGCGCTACGAAACAATGGGTTCCGTTGAGTTCTAGTCGTTCCTCCGGCGCTACAAAGATACATATCTTCCCTGACAAAAGAGAGAGCAATGGCATCACTATAAGGCGACGCCCTAAGATAAGGTTTCACATCGTCCACAAATCGGCCAGCGTCTTCAAAATCAAGCCCTACATACACAAATCTCTCTCCTGGGAAGCGCAATGCTCTTCTATGATACTTGGTGAAACGCTCTTTTTTGTGTTTCCAGCCCACAACAATGATTTTATCAGGAAATCTCCCTGTTACTTCGTAAAACCGTGCAATGCTAAACAAAAGATTTTCATAGGAATCTCTGGCGAACTCTTCAGCAAAAACACGTTTCTCCAGAACCTTCTTTTGTTCCGCCCGCGAACCAAAAAGACCAAATAGTTCCGTTTCCTCTGCCACAAGATAATAGCTTAATGCCTCACTTCGTGGTCCAGTCCCCGCGCGTGTTTGTCCTCCTGAAAAAATTAATAATGATGAGTTCAGATTATTTTTGAGAATCTCGAGTCCACGACGGATATGGGAGGCAAAACAGTAAGGTAGAAGAACACCTTCGCGACGCTGATGTGGCTCAACACCCCAGTTTTCTTCTTTTCGCCAGTCAGACGCATTTAACGCGTTCAAAACCCCATGACCAGGCACCATGATAAGGGTCTGCGTACTAAAATACAAAGGTTTGACACGTGAATCACCTTTCGTATTAAACACCAGTGACCTCCTCGACGAGTTGTCACACCACAGCACAATAATCACTAACAAGTAGACCACTCCAACCAACTGCAATGCATAATGGCTCCTCCGGGAAGTCATCTTCATCAACCACTTCACCAGTACCTCTACAAGTCCAAAAAAAAAAA